CCACCTCTAATAGGATCCTATTAGGGATGGATCCACCTCTAATAGGATCCTATTAGGGATGGATCCAGGGATGGATCCACCTCTAATAGGATCCTATTAGGGATGGATCCACCTCTAATAGGATCCTATTAGGGATGGATCCACCTCTAATAGGATCCTATTAGGGATGGATCCGCCTCAAATAGGATCCTATTAGGGATGGATCCGCCTCAAATAGGATCCTATTAGGGATGGATCACCTCTAATAGGATCAGTTAGGGATCTCCGCATCTAATAGGATCCTATTAGGGATGGATCCACCTCTAATAGGATCCTATTAGGGATGGATCCACCTCTAATAGGATCCTATTAGGGATGGATCCACCTCTAATAGGATCCTATTAGGGATGGATCCACCTCTAATAGGATCCTATTAGGGATGGATCCACCTCTAATAGGATCCTATTAGGGATGGATCCGCCTCAAATAGGATCCTATTAGGGATGGATCCACTCTAATAGGATCCTATTAGGGATGGATCCACCTCTAATAGGATCCTATTAGGGATGGAATCCACCTCTAATAGGATCCTATTAGGGATGGATCCACCTCTAATAGGATCCTATTAGGGATGGATCCGCCTCAAATAGGACCCTATTAGGGATGGATCCACCTCTAATAGGATCCTATTAGGGATGGATCCGCTTCAAATAGGATCCTAGTAGGGATGGATCCGCCTCAGATAGGATCCTATTAGGGATGGATCCGCCTCAAATAGGATCCTATTAGGGATGGATCCACCTCTAATAGGATCCTATTAGGGATGGATCCACCTCTAATAGGATCCTATTAGGGATGGATCCACCTCTAATAGGATCCTATTAGGGATGGCACCAGGACTCGCTTCGCTTACGCGCGCACGCAAGTAAGCGAAGCGAGTCCGGTGTAAAGTGTTAATAGAGCTAGAAGGTTTGTTTTTTTTTATTTGAACCGGTCCGTTGTTGTTGTTGTGTTGTTGGGGGGGGGGGGGGGTAGGGGGGCCCCGGGGGCCGGGGACGACTCCTGCCCCCCGGGCCTCCGCCCCGCCGCTCAAAACAACCCTGGAGGCCACCAAAAAGCGACCAGAGCGGCCTGACGGGGCTGAAAACACCCGAACATTTTTTCAAGACGGCCCTAGAGGCCCCGAGGACGTCTCAAGCAGGCTCCAAGATGCGCCCCGAGAGCGCCCCAGGAGGCCAGAATTGTTCCACTGCTGGGAGAAATGTTGATTTTAGCATATTCGTAAGTTGGGTGTTACAGCGTCCACAACGGCCCAAGAGGCCCAACACATCGCCCCAAGACAGCCCAAGAGGCCATCAGGCCCGAGGACGACACACGAGAGCACCAAGACGGTCCAAGAGGCAAGACGGCCCAAGAGAGCCCCTTGAGGGATCCAAGAGGTGAGACTCCAGTAGACATTTCGAGCCTTCCGCTCCCAGTGGGCCCTTGGCCGTCAGCAGGCCCCTAAGGTCCCCCAAAGAGGCCCCAAGAGGCCCCAAACGGTCCCAAGAGGATGATGATGATGATGATGATGATGATGAGGATGACGATGATGATGATGATGACGACGATGAGGAAGATGATGACGATGGTGATGTTTATGATGATGATGATGATGATGATGATGATGATGATGATGAAGATGAGGATGCTAGATGGCTGATGATGATGATGATGATGATGATGATGATTGATGTGATGATAAATGATGAATGATGATGAATTGATGATGTTATGGTGATGGTGCATGGTTATGAGATGGTGATGATGATGATGATATGATGATGATGATGATGATGATAGATGAATGAAGATGATAGGTGATGGTGGTGAGTGGTGATGGGTGATGGTGATGGTGATGGTGACGGTGATGGTGATGGTGATGATGATATGATGATGATGAATGATGTGATGATGATGATGAATGATGATGATGATGATGATGTATGATGATGATGATGAATGCTGATGCTGATGAATGCTGATGCTGATGTAATGAGAACGATGAATGATTAATGATTGATATGATGATGATGATGATGATGATGAATGATAGATGCTAGATGATGATGATGCGATGCTTGATGCTGATGATGATGATGATGATGATGAAAATTTTTGAAAATTTTGATGATTGTTTAATATGTTTGGTGATGGTGAATGGTGATGGTGATGGTGAATGGGATGGTTATGATGATTGATGATGATGATGATGATTGATGAGATGATGATGATGGAGATGATGATGACGACCGATGATGATGATGATGGGGTGATGATGGTGAATGTGTGAGGATGTCGATGATGGTGATGATGATGAGGATGATGACGGTGATTATGATGAGGATGACGATGATGATGATGATGACGACGATGAGGAAGATGATGACGATGGTGATGTTTATGATGATGATGATGATGATGATGAGGACGATGATGATGATGATGATGATGAAGATGGGGTGGGCGAGGATGCTGATGA